TACATACATACATACATACGAACTCAAATATATATTAGATTAGACTGATTTCTAAATATTGATATTGTGTGCAATGTTATTGTGGATTTTTCCCCGAATGTTCCTATTGTGTCCGATTATTAGTAGTATGAATTAGTAGCACGATTTTACCCAGCGCAGCGGGTACCCGCAGCTAGTCTAATATATATTTGAGTTCGTATGTATGTATGTATCTTCCCTATAGGCGGCCAAACCGCCCAAGCGATCTGGATGCAATTTTCACAGGGCCATCTCTTATACCCGGGCAGTGTTCCTAGATGAAAAAAACCTGTCAAACCGTCAAACTCACCGAAAAATCCGTGAAAAACCCGTCAATTCGTGAAACTTCACAAAATGTCAGCACTCACTGTACAGTGCTGCCACACACAGAAAAATCGATTCCCTCACCTCATCCGGCTGCTGGTATTGTGAAACCGAAACCAATACTAAAACACACCACAACCAGCACCAGTTTCACCAGTTCAGAGGTACTACTCACTCAGCTCAGAGGTTCAGTTTAGATGCTACGATGTCAGAATGCATTGTACCATTCGAAAGCTATGCAGTTTCTGATTCAGTAGGAAAATTTCTTCATTTCAATGTGCATGGCTGCGTGTCTCTATCTATACTATGAGCAGCTAATAATGACAAATTTGTCATTATTAGCTCCTGATACTATATTCCTTTTATTCATGGTACGATCTGACAATGGACAGCTGTACGTGGGGAGCTCAAGAGCTGGAGACGCCAGCAATCTCTACATATTTGCACCAGAGAATAAGACGAAAAACATTCTTTATCAAGAGGCTTTCAAATGAAAAGTCCAACCCATTCCTACATGCTGTTATAATAACTTTTTGTCATTTACACCATATTACTATTATGTCCCAGGGGTTCTAAGTTCGGTTGTGCTGTCATATAAATGTCATACGTAACAGTTTTTCGTTTTTCCCATGCTTATTATCTTATTACACTGATTTCTAAATATTAATATTGTCTGCAATGTTATTGTCGATTTCTACCCAATGTTCCTATTCTGTCCCATTATTAGTACTATGAATTAGTAGCACGATTTTACCCAGCGCAGCGGGTACCCGCTGCTAGTTAGTCATAAGTGTTATCGTAGCATTAACATTAGCATTAACTTTACGATGTTTCTGACAACGGGCCCCTGCAGGACTTGTGCTCTACTTGACATATCAATTCACGCATCGTGAGTACAGTTCCTTGTTTGTTTGTTTTGGTATTTCCGATAATCGATTATTTGTTTTCATAATCGATTATCGAATTTGAGACTATAATCGATCGATTTTCGATTATAATCGATCATCGGGACATCACTAGCTAGAACATTGAATAACGAGAGGTCTGAGAATCAATCAACAAACAAATCAATTATCATGATATCCGTGAATCAATATCCTTGTCTATAGAGCTCTACGCATAAGGAAAGATCAGGTAAAATTTCAGCTAGAGCAGTGAAACCTACACCCCCCTCGATGCCATCACCCCTAAATGTTCACCACAGCGAGAAAACCCAACTCCCCCCTCCCCAACTCCCACTAGGTGAGTTAACCTAGGTCACCTAAATTATTTAAGCTAGGTCACCTCCTAAGTGAGTTAAGCTAGTGAGTTAAGCTATAGTTCACCTCCTAGGTGAGTTAAGCTATTGAGTTAAGCTAGGTCACCTCTCTCCCTCTCTCTCTCCCAGCACTCACGTTGTCGCGCGTCATCGCTCGCTCGCCCTCGTACACCTGGATCAGCACGCCGGGTTGGTTGTCTGAGTACGTCGTGAAGATCTGCGTCTGCTTTGTAGGTATCGTCGTGTTGCGCTTGATCAGCGAGGTCATGACCCCGCCGGCGGTCTCGATGCCGAGCGACAACGGCGTCACGTCGAGCAGCAGCAGGTCCTGCACGGCTTCAGACTTGTCGCCGGACAAGATGGCCGCCTGCACGGACGCGCCGTATGCCACCGCCTCGTCCGGGTTGATGCTCTTGTTCAGCTCCTGCAGGTGGCACCACCAGAGTCATTCGTTCGACTTTTCGTTATCGCGCGTTTTACCATTTGTTCGATTATTTTTTTCGTTCTCGCGCTTTTACCCCGTTTGTTTGTTGATTATTTACGAATGTTATTATTATCATTTAGTGTTTTCGTTATTAGGTATACATTTATTTTGTCCTTGTTATATTTAGTGTACATATGTATACATGTTAGTTTATATGTATACATATATATATATACCAGTATACACACACACATAACATTTACATATGTAATAAAATGACTCATCGTAGCATCACATATATATGTATATATGTATATATACACACACACACACATATAACATTTATACACGTAATCGACTCGTCACACCCCCGCACCTTGCCATTGAAGAAGTCCTGCAGCAGCTTCTGTATCTTCGGGATGCGGGTGCTGCCGCCTACCAGCACGAGTTCGTCCACCTGCCCCTTGTCGAACTTGGCATCACGTAGAGCTTTCTCGACGGGCTCCAGCGTGCCGCGGAACAGGTCGGCGTTGAGTTCCTCGAAGCGCGCTCGCGTCACCGACGTGTAGAAGTCGACTCCGTCAAACAGCGAGTCGATCTCAATGCTGCGGGGAGAAGGGGAGGCTAAGATAAACAACAACAACAACAACAACAGCAACAACAATGATCATGACAGCAACAACAACAACTATCACAACAACAACAACAACTATCACAACAACAATAACTATCACGACAGCAAATGGATCTCAATGCTGCGGGGAGAAGGGGAGGCTACGATAAACAACAACAACAACAACAACAACAACGATCATGCATGATAAACAACGACAACAACAACAACAACAACGATCATGCATGATAAACAACGACAACAACAACAACAACCACAACAACAACAATCACAACAGCGACAAGAACAATGCTGCAGGTAGAATGACGGGAAGACTACGATAAACAACGACAACAACAACGATAACAACAACAACAACAACAACAACAACAACTAGCACGACAGTGACAAGAACAATGCTGCAGGTAGAATGACGGGAAGACTCAGGGGGGGGGAGACGGCGATAAACAACACCAACAGCAATAACAGAGGTGTGCCACTAGGTGGCGCTTGCAGCGGCGGCGGCACAGACCTGGCCTGGGTGCTGGACGACAGAGTGCGCTTGGCACGCTCGCACGCCGTGCGAAGTCGACGGACTGCTCTCTTGTTTGCCGACATGTCCTTCTTGTGTTTGCGCTTGAATTCCTGCATGAAGTGAGCGACCATGCGGTTGTCAAAGTCCTCACCTGCAGGTATAAATAACGAGGCATCTGAGAATCAATCAACAAACAAATTATTAATTAAATAATAACAATAATAAACAATTATCATCTCGTCCTCATCTATCGTAAGGAAAGATCGGCTAAAATTTGAGCTAGAACTAGTGATGGAAATCGGCTGGAATTTCATAATTGAATATCGGTTTCTCTTAACCGATCGATAATCGATTATAATCGGATAATCGGTTAATAATAGCATAGATTAAATTTAATCTTACTTTGTATATACAATTATACATAGCATTCAATATTATCATGTTTCTGATCGATTTCTATCTTATTCTTATCGTGATCAATTCTCATCCAATCAGCAGCCTTGTGACATGAAATTATGAAGTTCCTGTTATCGTGAGTTTAATCGCTCGTAGCTAAAATGTGTTTCTGTCAATGCTACTCTCGTAGCATTAACATCTAATATATATTTGAGTTCGTATGTATGTATGTATGTATGTATGTATGTATGTATGTATGTATGCTATCTTCCTGATAGGCCGGCCAAACCGCGCCAAGCGATCTGGAATGCAATTTTCACAGGGCCATGCTCTTATACCCGGGGGAGTGTTCCTAGATGAAAAAACCTGTCAAACCGTCAAACTCACGTCAAATCCCGTGAAAACCCGTTCAATTCTGTGAATCTTCACACAATGTCAGCATTGACTGTACAGTGCTTGCCACACAGAGAAAAATCGATTCTCACTCACCTCATCGGTTGCTCGTATTGTGAAACCGAAACAATACTAAAACACACCACAACCACCACCAGTTTCACCAGTTCAGAGGTACTACTCCTCAGCTCAGAGGTTCAGTTCAGAACTACGATCTCAGAATGCATTGTACCATTCAAAAGCTATTGCAGTTTCTGATTCAGTAGGGAAATTTCTTCATTTCAATGTGCATGGTTGCGTGTCTCTATCTATACTATGAGCAGCCTAATAATGACAAATTTCTCATTATTAGCCTCTGATACTATATTCCTTTTATTCATGCTACGATCTCACAATGGATAGCTGTACGGTGGGGAGCTCAAGAGTTGGAGACGGCCAGAATCTCTACATATTTGCACCAGAGAATAAGACGAAAAGTCCACCCATTCTACATGCCTTATAATAACTTTTGTCATTTACACCATTATTACTTTATGTCCCATGGGTTCTAAGTTTGGTTGTGCTGTCATATAAATGTCATACGTAACAGTTTTTTCGTTTTTCCATGCTTATTATCTTATACACTTATTTCTGAATATTAATATTGTCTGCAATGTAATTGTCGATTTTTACCCAATGTTCCTATTCTGTCCCATTATTTATAGTACTATGATTAGTAGCACGATTTACCCAGCGCAGCGGGACCCGCGTAGTCTAATATAATTTGAGTTCGTATGTATGTATGTATGTATGTATGTATTATGTATCTTCCCTATAGGCGGCCCAACCGCCCAACGATCTGGATGCAATTTTCACAGGGCCATCTCTTATACCCGGCGGAGTGTTCCTAGCTGAAAAACCTGCCAACCGTCAAACTCACCGAAAAATCCGGTGAAAAACCCGTCAATTCGTCAATCTTCAACACAATGTCAGCACTGACTGTACAGTGCTGCCACACAGAGAAAAATTGATCACTCATTCCATCAGCTGCTTGGTATTGTGAAACCGAAACCAATACTAAAACACACCACAAACCAGCACCAGTTTCACCAGTTCAGAGGTACTACTCACTCAGCTCAGAGGTTCAGTTCAGATGCTACGATGTCAGAATGCATTGCTACCATTCGAAAGCTATATGCAGTTCTGATTCAGTAGGAAAATTTCTTCATTCAATGTGCATGCTCGGTGTCTCTATCTATACTAGAGCAGCCTAATAATGACAAATTTTGCATTATTAGCTCCTGATACTATATTCCTTTTATTCATGTACGATCTGACAATGGACAGCTGTACGTGGGAGCTCAAGAGCTGGAGACGCAGCAATCTCTACGATATTGCACCAGAGAATAAGACGAAAAACATTCTTTATCAAGAGGCTTTCAAAATGAAAAGTCCAACCCACCTACATGCTGTTATAATAACTTTTTCTCATTTACACCATATCTATATTGTCCCAGGGGTTCAAGTTCGGTTGTGCTTCATATAAATGTCATACGTAACAGTTTTTCGTTTTCCCATGCTTATTATCTTATTACATGATTTTAAATATTAATATATCTGTCTGCAATGTTATGTCGATTTTACCCCAATTTTCCTATTCTGTCCCATTATTAGTACTATGAATTAGCTAGCACGATTTTACCCAGCGCAGCGGGTACCCGCAGCTAGTTAGTCATAAGTGTTATCGTAGCATTAACATTAGCATTAACTTTACGATGTTTCTGACAACGCGGCCCCTGCAGGACTTCTGTCTACTTGACATATCAATTCACGCATTTGTGATACAGTCTTGTTTGTTTGTTTTGGTATTTCCGATAATCGATTATTTGTTTTCATAATCGGATTATCGAATTGAGACTATAAATCGATCGATTTTCGATTATAATCGATCATCGCGGACATCACTAGCTAGAACATTGAATAACGAGAGGTCTGAGAATCAATCAACAAACAATCAATTATCATGATATCCGTGAAATCAATATCCTTGTCTATAGAGCTCTACGCTAAGGAAAGATCAGGTAAAATTTCAGCTAGAGCAGTTGAAACCTACACCCCCCTCGATGCCACCACCCCTAAATGTTCACCACAGCGAGAAAACCCAACTCCCCCCTCCCAACTCCCACTAGGGTGAGTTAACCTAGGTCACCTAAATTATTTAAGCTAGGTCACCTCCTAAGTGAGTTAAGCTAGGTCACCTCCTAAGTGAGTTAAGCTAGGTCACCTCCTAGGTGAGTTAAGCTATAGTGAGTTAAGCTAGTGAGGAAAGCTAGGTCACCTCCTAAGTGAGTGTCTCCAGCAGTCGACTTGACTTCAAAGATGCCCTCCTCGATAGACAGGATGGAGACGTCGAAAGTTCCGCCGCCGAGATCAAAGATAAGAACGTTCTTCTCGCCTTGTCTCACCTGCAAAGTTCCATAGAAACGCTCGCATCAGACAAGAGAACGTTCCTCCGTCGCCGAGGTCAAACATAAGAACGTATTTCATCCCGCGTTGTACCAGTATTGTCAGAAGACCCACACTGGGAGATTAGAGACGGTGCAACGGGATCATGCTATGTATATATATATATATTATTTATTGGCTATATTTGAACCGAACTGAATAGATTGCTGCAGCAGCAACCAAGAGTTGCTGTGAGCCCTAACACTTACACTGTAGATAGCCCCACGCATGCACACACTCACCAATGAACCCCCCTCCCAAACCCCACCGACACATGCACCCATACATCCCCCCACCACCAATACACACATCCATACATCCCCCCCCACTGCCTGTATAAAGAACTGATGGTGGGTCTAAGTATAATGTTACATGCAGGGAAGACCAACAATGAGCATCGAGGGGCAAGGCGATGATCGCACGATGAGCACGCACGCTATCGCGCTGCGAATCGCAGTAATTGTGCATCGCAACCTGGCAATACTGCAGCGTTTTCTACGTTAGTCCAACCTTCTTCTCACTCACTAGTAGCGTAGTGTGGCAGAAAGATTCGCAGGTGGGGAACCTGACAGGGGCCACGACGTGAACGCTCCTTCCGTGGCCCCGGTTAATCCAGCCAAACCCAAACTACAGAGACTCCCCGACTTACGAACATTCGAGTTACGAACTTTCGATGATACGAACAATTTGCCCTAAAGTCCATTAGTGTATAATGTCAATATTGGTGAATAAAAACACACAATCGCCCCCCTGATTTTTACTTTCGCCAACTCCTGTGTTCACGTATATGTTTACACTATGTACACTTCTAGGTTACTCGATGTTCACGCTTACATATACTACACTACTGTACAACACTGTATACGTACGTGCATATGTTCGACTTACGAACAAATCGACTTAGGAACGACCGCTCAAAACCGAACATGTTCGTAAGTCGGGGCGTGTCTGCACACTGCGAGGAAACGCGAAGCCGAAATCCGAACGACAGCCGACGCCGCCAGACACGGCATTTCGGGGAAAACAAGAGGCGGTAGCAGCAGCGACGGCGGCGACTATTCCGTTTATACACAATCTCCTCATCGCGAACGCCGGCAGAGGCACCGCACCACACCCGCCCAACCCGACGCGGCATTTCAACACCGCAGCCGGGCACCCGGGCGCTGCACAAGAAAGCAGCGTGCACGCAGCGTGCGCGTACGGCTCAGCCCGCACAACTACTATCATCTCATCATAAACATTCTCGTCATATATCTTCTCATCCTGCATTTGAGAGTATTCCTTGAACTAACTCCTGATGTGCAGTGTTCAGCACGTCGTGATATAAACACTTTCAGGATAAAACCGGCTAAGCACCACAAGACTACAATGACGGCATCGCTACTTCTCAAAATTCAAGAAATTGCTCAAAATTGATGTGTCCGCAAAAGACAAAAAGAGAAAGAAGGGGGAGTCACACACCCACCCACCAACATCCACCCACCCACCAACGCACACGCACCCACCAACACACCTGTAACCCACCCACCCACCAACGCACGCGCACCACCAACACACACGCACCCACCAACCAACCAACCAACACCCACCCACCCACCAACACACACGCACCCACCAACCCACCCACCAACACACACCCACCAACACGCACCCACCAACTAACACACACGCACCCACCAACACACACGCACCCACCAACACACCAACACCCACCCACCAACATCCACCCACCCACCCACCAACACACACGCACCTTCTTGTCGACACCGTAGGCAATGGCGGCGTACGTCGGTTCACACCAACATGCACGCACGCGCACGCACACACACACACCCACCAACACCCACCCACCAACACACATGCACCCACCAACACCCACCCACTAACCAACAAACACGCACCTTCTTGTCGAGACCGTAGGCGATGGCGGCGGCCGTCGGCTCGTTGATGATGCGGAGGACGTTGAGTCCGGCGATGACCCCTGCATCTTTCGTTGCCTGCCGCTGCGAGTCATTGAAGTACGCCGGCACCGTGACGACAGCATCCGTCACGCTCTACAGCGAGAAAGAAGCGAGTGTCAGATGATAGATGATAGAGAGACTGCAGCAAGAAAGAAGAGTATGTTAGATGATAGATACTAAGAGAGACTGCAGCAAGAAAGAAGAGTATGTTAGATGATAGAGACTAAGAGAGACTGCAGCAAGAAAGAAGAGTATGTTAGATGATAGAGACTAAGAGAGACTGCAGCAAGAAAGAAGAGTATGTTAGATGATAGAGGCTAAGAGAGACTGCAGCAAGAAAGAAGAGTGTGTTAGATGATAGATGATAGATACTGCAGCAAGAAAGAAGCCAGATGTCCTCCACATCTTTGCGAGAAACCTCATAGCTTTGGCAGGAAATGCCACGATGAAACAATCGGACAACTCTTACCCTGCTTAGGAGCGCCTTTCCCCCTCTGTAAACAAACGAACGCCTCTCGCCCAATCGAGGAGCTCCTTTCCCCCTCTGTAAACAACCGAACGCCTCTCGCGACTCTCGCCCAATCGAGGAGCTCCTTCCCCCCTCTGTAAACAAACGAACGTCTCTTGTCCAATCGAGGAGTGCCTTCCCCACTGCGCAAACAAATGAACATCTCTCACCTTGCCCAGGAGCTCCTCTTCCCCCCTGCGTAAACAAATGAACGTCTCTCACCTTGCCCAGGAGCTCCTCTTCCCCCCTGCGTAAACCAAAGAACGTCCCTCACCTTGCCCAGGAACTCCTCTTACACCCTATGTAAACAACTGAACGCCTCTCGCTCAATCGAGGAGCGCCTTTCCCCCTCTGTAAACAACTGAACGCCTCTCGCTCAATCAAGGAGCACGTGCGACTCTCTGTAAAGAAACGAACGCCTCTCACTCAATCGAGGAGCTCCTTTCCCCCTCTGTAAACAACTGAACGCCTCTCGCCCAATCGAGGCGTGCCTTCCCCCCTGCATAAACAAACGAACGTCTCTCACCCTGCCTAGGAACTCCTCTTCCCCCCTCTGTAAACAAACGAACGTCTCTCGCTCAATCAAGGAGCACCTTTCCCCCTCTGTAAACAACCGAACGCCTCTCCCGACTCTCGCCCAATCGAGGAGCACGTTCGCCCCTCTGTAAACAAACGAACGCCTCTCGCCCAATCGAGGAGCTCCTTTCCCCTTCTGTAAACAACCGAACGCCTCTCGTCCAATCAAGAAGCTCCTTTCCCCCTCTGTAAACAACCGAACGCCTCTCACAACTCTCGTCCAATCGAGGAGCTCCTCTTCCCCTCTCCGTAAACAAACGAACGTCTCTCACCTTGCCGAGGAAGGCCTCGGCGGTCTCGCGCATCTTCGTCAGAACCATCGAGGAGATCTCCTCGGCATAGAACGTCTTCGTCTCGCCCTTGTAATCGACACGCACCCGCGGCTTTCCCGCGTCGCTCACCACCTGGAAAGGCCACATCTTCATGTCCATCTGCACGGTCGGGTCGTCGAATCGCCGGCCGATGAGACGCTTCGCATCTGCAACGGTCGACAACGGGGAGACGTCGGCAAAGCGATCGAGAGAATTGGGTACGAAGAACCGACTGAACCAATCTCCATGGTCTCGCTTTCGCTCTCTCTCTCGGTCGCTCTCTCTCGGTCGCTCTCTCTCGCTCTCTCTCTCCCCCACCACGACCTCCCCCCCACAACCTCTTCCCACCATGACCTCCCTCCCCTCCCCCAACCTCTTCCCACCCCGACCTCCACCTACTCGACCTTTCCCACCATGACCTCCCCCCCCACGACCTCCCCTCACCACGACCTCTCCCCCACCACGACCTCTCCCACCACGACCTTCCCCCACCACGACCTCGCCCTTACCACGACCTCCCCCCAACACGATTTCCCCTTACCACAACTCCCCACCACGACCTCCCCCCACCACAACCTTCCCCCACCACAACCTCCCCCCAACCACGACCTCTCCCCACCACGACCTCCCCTCACCACAACCTTCCCCACCACGACCTCCCCCCCACCACCACCACGACCCCCCACCCACCACCACGACCTCTCGTCTGGCGGCGGGCGACTCACCGAACACGGTGTTGTTGGGGTTGAGCGCCACCTGGTTCTTGGCGGCGTCGCCGATCAATCGCTCGGTGTCGGTGAACGCGACGTAGCTGGGCGTCGTCCGATTTCCCTGATCGTTGGCGATGATCTCCACCTTGCCGTGCTGGAATACGCCCACGCACGAGTAGGTCGTTCCAAGGTCAATGCCGATGCCCGGTGCCTTAGCCATTCTGTCGCTGCTCGTGCTGTCGTTGTTTTTTTATTTTACTAATTTACGTTTCGTTCCAGACCTACAAATGTGTAATTGGAAAAAAAAACATGAGAAAAACTCATGAGAAAAGCGGCTTTCAGTTATATGCTTAGCATCGTTATCTTTATCGTCTTCTCTATCTTGTTATAGAGTATTACGCATTCTGCATGCAATGTCTCTGTGCTATCGCTAAGTACTCTCATTTTTCTTGATTGTATACAGTTTCCGACTAATTACTATTCTACTACAAATTTATACTCTTTATGGTCAAATCTATGTTGTAGAAGAGAATTAAAGCCCATAAGGAATACTTAGTATTTCCCTTGATTTGCAGTTACAAAGTGAAACCACCTTTATAAAATAGTCCCATGTATAATAATTGTTGACATTTTTTTTTTACTTTTGAAATTTCCACCGAGTATCAGTTATGAAGTAAAACCACCACCTCTATAGAACAAACATAGAACATAGAACTCTATAGAACAAACACCTATCAATGAAAGAAACTTTTGCGATTTCTTTTGGGTGGCCCATATGCACTAGTTTGACTGTATCTAGGGACTTTAGAGTAGTTACAGGCTTTGATCACATGCCGTGCCTGAACAGGGGTAGAAATTGGTTTGAAAACTTACAGGCCAGCCGGACCTGTAGGTATTAGGGATTGTACAGACCCGCCAAGCAAATTACAGGCCCGCATCATTCCCCGGCTACCGCATTATTTAAAAAAAATCTAAAAGACTGAAATTTTAAATTTTTATAATAGTTTATTTACAGTAATACAAAAAACATATTCAGTGACTACTAGTGAGCGATACTGTGGTGACTTTTCATCCTCGCTGGCGTTCCGGGGACGGTTTTTCATGCTGGGGGTGGATTTTAATTCTACGGGCCCGTCGGGCTTGCTAGTATTAGAAATGTCAGGCCCAAGCCAGCGTGTGGTGGAAAACGAAGGAAGCAACACACACGGCAAACCATTCGCACTCCGTACATAAATTACTGAGGCTGGCGTCCGCTAGCGCAAACATGTGGCAACATCGCTCCTCACTCAAGGTCACGGGAACAGCGACTCTGAACTCTTGGAACGTTTACCTCCCGATTCTAGAACCGCATAGCGTGTGTGCGTGTGCACAGGGGGAGGGGGCAGCTCCACTCCGAAGATAAGACGAGGCCGTGCGACGTTAGAGCAAAAATGAAAAGCGAATATAATTCTATAAAATGCAGAGAATGCAGAAAAGCAACAAAATTCGACCTAATCCTACGCAATCCAACGCTCTTTTTACTACAGGGACTTTTCGCAAAACAGTTTTCTAACGTCCCTATTTGGTAAATCCTGCCCCACCTACTCCTAGCTAAAAAATTTCCCCTCACCTACCCATTTAAAATCTTGGCTAACCCAACTAGAATTGCCCCCACCCACCATCACCTATTAATGTTACCTCACTTACCAATAATTAGATATTTTGCCTCGCCCAATCCATACTAGAAATTTTGCCCCACCCAGCCCCAACTAGAAATTTGCTCAGGGGCAATGACTAAGCAACTTCTACATCACTTTATCTATGCAAATAACGGCCATACATTAACCCTCTTGGATCTTGTACTCGGCTCTACATGGAACTTCCCATCCCTTCAACCCAGCCTACTGAGTGTTACACGCCAATGATTCCACTGATGATAAAACGACACGTGATACCAACACAGCATCTGCTAACGGGAGAAATGCTGTGAGACTTCAAAAATAACACGCTATGACTAAACGTCTGAAGATTCCAGGCATGGCCACGTATATATACAGGAGATGCATTATATATATAATATGATAAATCGTGTATATATATCTTATTATATATATATATATATATATATACACGATTTATCATTATTGACTCATATCACTTTGTGTTGCTTATTTACTTGAAAATCAAGAAGAAATAACAAATTGAATTCTCGCAGCAAAGTGATCGACTAACGATGCAGATAGTGGTGTGAGCAGCTATTACGCGCACAGACGACACACGCACACGTGCACGCACGCGACACACGCAGCACGCACGCACACACGTTGCAGTGAGAAAGCACAGTAACCTTGCACCATAAAACGCAGTTTGCAACGACTTTTCTTGCTGTCTGTGGTAGCATGTCCTGCCCCACTGTATTAGCAACGCACGCTGCACACATAGCCACGACGCATGTTAATAGGTGTAGGCCTAAAGCCCACACTACCTATATAGTACTATATGAGTCAAAATATGCTAAGCGGGCACGGCAAGAGAGTACAGCAGAGGCTGGGCGAGGCAGATATATAAAACACGTGTTTTTATTCACACAGAACTTGAAAGTTAACCTTTATGGACGCAACATGTCACGATAAAACAATGAAAATATAGTTGACAGAAAGTAAACGCTGAAAAATTTGGCATTTTCAAGTTCGGAACTCTGTGCTTGCGTACATCATTTATGATGGACATTTTTTCATCTTTTATTGTTCATTAACCCATTATTAATTACTCATTTCTAATACTCAACACTATTCATACAAGTGCGCAGGTAATGCCAATTTTATGAAAGAGGAAGAACGCATCTTGTCGCAAGAAACATAAACATGAAAAATTTTACATTCGTACAAACACATCCAGCCATACTTGGCCAAGGGCTACTTGGTTCGGAAGAAACTATTTACTGAAGCATTGGCACATACACCAATTGGATATGAAATATGTTGTATGTAATTACTAATTAGTATTCACATTTATACAGTGTAGCCTTTACAATGAGGTTTAAGGTACAGTAAAGCATTACGCTTAAAAGACATTACAGGCCCAAGTTTAGCGAAAAAAAAAAAAACTTGCATTACATTAGTTTGAGGAGACAAATTTTCAAAATCACAAATATATTCATGAATATTCATGCATTTCTAGTAAAGCCATTATCAGTTCTTTTCAAATTCTTATTTAAATAAAAGATTATTTTCTTTTAAAATTGTGGCGCAAGATGATTTCACTTAATGCCATTATTCAAATAAAATTTTCAAAAACTTGCGTACATTAGTTCAATACATAGACATATTTTCAAATTATCACAAAATCATCAGTTCTGAGAGGATGTACAGTCATATACAGTAAAAACACGCGTATAAGACAACTAGATTTTAAGAACATGTTAGGGCTAAAATTTCCCGATTTAGACCCCTTTACATAAGAACCTGTTTTAGGCTAAGATTTTAAATTAGGTTCTTAATTATTTCCATTTTTTTCCATTTTTTTTTCTCCTCCCATTTTTGGCATGTTGTTTTATTTCCTTGGATACATACTGTATAATACAGTATGGTAAGCAGCTGAAAAACTTACACTGCTAGCCCATCATGGGTATTAATTAGCAAAAATTGCAGTCCTTGTAAGAAAATTTTAACACAATTTGAATCAAGTTATAAGCTTATATACATGATTAAAAGTTAGAACAATTAAGAACCTATTTAGACTGCTTTTGAGCCTAATTTTTCAGTAAGAACCATTTATTAAGAACCTATTGAGAGCTAACTTGAAAAAAATCTATGTTCTTATACGCGGATTTTGACTGTATGGCATATATTTCACTTTAACAATATATAGAATACTTCTACATGGCCTACATACCTACTACTATAAGCAGTGCTCGAAATAAGAAAAAAAATGTGGTTGTCCTGCGGACAACCCAGGCATCAAATCGGGTTGTCCGCAACAATTTCTGGTTGTCCCAAAAAAATATCCAAATCTCCTATTTTCATCACATAATAATATGGTCAGAAAACACCCAAAAACAGTGTTGTAGCGCAGGATTTTTTAACAAGGGGGGCCAAAAACAGCCAGCACTGCGGACAATAGTGGATGACTTAATATTTTTAATGGCTCCTCACCTCCCTCTCCACACCCTACGGCTCCTCTACCTTGCTGCAATCTTTGTTTTGGGTGCCATGCGAAAAGGCGACATTTTTGTTCATTGTTCTCTGCTCCCAAGATATGTAATTGTTCAGTGGCGGATCTAGGATCTAGGATCTTTCGGGGGGGTGAAAACAAGCGGGGGTATGGGGGTTCTCCGCCCACAAAATTTTGAAAATGTAGATGGCAGGAGATGGTATTTGGCGGCACTTTTGAGTACATGTACAGCCTTCATTCTGCCTACGCCATTCTCTTTTTTAAACTTCGGATAAACATGAAATCCCCACTGTTGTTTGTTTTGCATGGGCAAGGCCATGGGAAAATTCAAAATAATAATGGAATAAAAATACCAAATGTAGGGGTGAACTTGCTGGTTTGCTGGTTCCAAATCGACTTCACCTCTCATAAATCAGAAAACTGACATTACCAGTGTTGGAAATAGCAGCTAGTATGCGTCGGCTTTCCCACACCATCAGATTAATGGCGGCGGCCAGGCTATAAGTGCTCTTGGAGAACCCCTGAGAAAAACATAAATAAAGTGCTTTTTTCGTCACCTTTTTTACTTGGTTGTCCACCGGACAATGTCTCAGACTGGTTAGGTTGTCCGGCGCAAATTCTGGTTGTCTCGGACAACCGGACAACGCTTATTTCGAGCACTGATAAGGCTATAATAATCAGCAGTGTTAGTATCCTTACTATAAAGAGGCTAATCTTGTGTGTGTGTGTGTGTGTGTGTGTGTTTGTTTGACCTCGCTTTTCTCCGTGATTTTTCACTCAATCGAACTGAAGATATATTCAGAATCACCACGTCTTGCAGATGCATAGTTCTGGCTGAGACGAAAATTTTAAAAAGTTAAAAAGTAAAAAAAAATATTGTATTAAGTCAAAATTCAATCATCACGTACGTTGGAATTATTGCGCGTCTCTTGACCGCCACCGTAGCGTAGTCTTTTTCATAACCCGAGATTCCGGGTTCGAATCTTAGCTGGGGAAAAAAAATTTCTCCTTCACTTTTTGACTCTTTAGTATGTACTTCTGCTACTTCAGTGTTAATTTCAAAATTCTAAAAATTAATTTTACATTAATTAAAAAAAAATTTTTTACTATTTTTTTTACTATTATTACC